AAACTTTATTGTCTCACTACCAAGGTTATTATTTATTCTCGTGATGTTGTTTTTATGGAAACTGTTTTTCCTTTTCACCATGCTAAACCCACAGATGTCACTACTTTTGCTTTACCCACTTGTCTTTCCCATGCTGATTATACATCTCCACCACTTCCATTAAATTCACCTACACCAGTTTCTGAACCTCGTACAGACCCTTTATTCTCTTCCATTGAAGAATTCCAAGATTTGCCTTTGATAGATGACCTTTCTATTGGATAATTGATACTGAGCTGCCATTACAGGTCCTGATGTTTTACCGCTGCTCGGCGTAGTAAAGTACAAAACACTTGCTTGGTTTGATGATTATTGTGTTACTATCCCACTACCAATCTGGCGTGTCAGATTTTTCCTCTTCTCATATAACCTTTGTCTGCACAATTATCAAAATTAAAAAACCTTGCAATTATAATGATTGCTAAAATAATGTGAAGGGTTGAATGCTATGCTGATGAATTAAACTGCTTTGGAACTGGAACAAAATAATACTTGGACATTAACTGCTTTGCCTCTTAATACTAAACCTGTTGGTTGTAAGTGGGTCTACAAGGTTAAATATAATGCAGATGGAAGTGTTGACAGATATAAAGCAAGGCTCGTCGCCAAAGGGTACAATCAGTTACTGGGCCTGGATTATAATCAGACTTTTTCTCCGTTTGCCAAGCTTGTTACTGTAAGGGTTTTCTTAACTGTGGCCGCCGCTTTTTCTTGGTCTGTCAAGCAACTTGATATTAATAATGCTTATTTACATGGTTTCATTGATGAGGATATTTATATGCAAGTTCCTCCTAGTTATGATAAAGCTGAAACAGGGCAAGTTTGCAAATTGCAGCGCTCACTTTAAGTGGAATAAAGAATTAACTCGAGTTTATTATTTTCCCAGGGATTCAAAGCAATCCTCTCTATCATTGTCTTTTCACGAATACATGGGAAAACTTTTATGCCTTGCTGTTTATGTCGATGATTGTCTGATAACTAGTCGCATCTGTACAACTTATTTCTGATCTGAAAGGCATCTATTTAGACAGAAATTTTCTGTTAAAGATCTTGGTGATAATTAGATATTTTGGGCATTGAAGTGGCACTACAGACCTGGTATTATGTTACACTAACATAAGGTTGATCTCTGATATTTATTTCTGATTACTGGTTTGCAAGATGCCAAATTGCCAGCTAGGTCCTTATATACAAGGTGTAAGATTAACAGCAGATATGGGACCACCCATTTGTCCGATGTAGGAAAGTTGATAGGCGGCTTGATTGGTTCGCGTTACTTTTATTTGTCTATTGGACCCGCCTGACATAAGTTATGCAGTCCAGCAACTCAGTCAATACATGCAGGTTCCGCATACTCAACATCTCAAAGCAGCTCTTACAGTTGTGCGCTACCTGAAGGGTACTAGTTATCTTGGTTTGTTTTTACCCGCTACAAATGATTTAAAGCTTTGAGCTTTTTCTGATGCTGACTGGGCATCTTGTACAGATTCTCGCCGCTCAGTTACTGGTTATTGTATTTTTCTTGGCACTTCCTTGGTTTCTTGGAAGACTAAAAAGCAGTCTACGGTTAGTCGATCCTCTGCTGAATCGGAATATAGAGCCATGGCTACTACGGTTTGCGAGATTCAGTGGTTATCTTCCTTATTGACTGATTTTCATGTTCCTGTTCATCGACCTATTCCTTTGTGATAATAAGGCAAGCTATTCATATAGCCTTTGCCAAATCAACGGGTTTCATGAACGCAACCAAGCACATGACATTGATTGTCATGTGGTTCGAGATCAAATTCAAAGCTGGGTCCTTAGCACTCCTTTCTTCGCTTCTACAATTCACTGGCTGATATGTTTACTAAGTCTCTTGCCATCTTATTCATACTGATTTGTTCTCAAGCTTTGGGTTAGTTGATTCGCAACCAACTCCAGCTTGAGGGGGGGGTTATAACGGATATTGATTTGTTCAGCAAATTTGCATTTGTATTGTAATCCCGTAGAATAAGCTCTCCTAACTCCCGTTAGAATAGCTCTACTAACGCACACTCCTCATCTGTTAGGACTGTGGCTAGATTATGTATAAATTATGTATAAGTAATCATAATAGCTTGAACAGAACCAAGAGAGAAATAAAAAGAACACAGAGGTAGCTTTCAAGTGGGCTCCTCTTTCATAAATGAATTTAACTTTATACTGGCTGCTTTAATCCTCATGAATAACACAAACTAGAGATTTGTCAATATCTGCTAGTTGGGAACTTTTTTGAAGTGTATATATGAAAGAATCTAATGCCATCCACATTCTCTCTATGTACGATTGCCCTAGATATAGTAAATCTGAATAGCTAAAACTAAATGATAGTGGTTGTTGCTTTGTGCCTGCGAAAAGATTTTTTGTTTTGGTATCAGCCAAAAATTTCTTGTCGTTAAAGAAATAGGAAGTACTTCCTACCTTATGAGCCACTAAATATCCATTAATGACGTTTATGATGGGAGCGGGTATAAAGCGGAAACAACCTTATCGAAACCATATGAGGCAAACTAAAACATTATCGAACAAATCAATAAACTGACCTCTTGAAGCGCAGAATCGCTCACCGGTCTTCTTTCCAGAGATAGAGTTAAATAACTTCTCATGGAAAATTTCTTCTAAGCGACATCCCTTTCTTTCAAACCCTAGATGCTTCTCTTTTCTTTTTCTGACTGGCGGCCACACGTTGAGCTCTCACTGGTGGTCCACCCATTTTTTTTTTTTTTTTTTTTTTTTTTTTTTTTTGTTTTTTAAATAATCATCAGATCTACAAATTTGTGTTACTATTGCTAAATATTAGGATTTATTATTACTCATATTTTAGGATTTTGTTCTTAGATTTAGTTTTAAGTTATTCTTGTCACCATTATAGTGATTTTGTCTAGTGTAGTTTGTTATTTGGACAGTTATGCAGAAAGAAGTGCAAATCTCTTCTCTAGTAGAAGGAAGAATTTGAAAGTGATCAGATCAGATCAGACTTGTAGAAAGACTATGGAGTCAAACAATGGCCATGAATAGCCACTAAGTAGAGTAAGCGATCACCTATAACATAAGTACTCTGTCAACTTAATCAAATACTTCAAATCAAGATTGTTTTTTTTTTTTTTTTTTTTTTTTTTTTTTTTTTTTTTTTTTTTTTTTTGTATAAGTGGTTATTATTAGACTTTCTACATAAAAGTATAGAAACATATTGATCTGTATCTCATATTTGTATACAGTTTTCACTTAAGGAAATTTCTAGTTTGATTTCTTTAAAAAAAATTGCACTAAATAAACAAATTGATAGATTGTTAAATAAATATGATCAGGAATTTATGTTCAAGTTTTCTGATCCATAAATATATAATGCATATTCTTTCATAATATGGTAACATTTATGCCTTATGAATGGTAGAATGTTATACAAATCATCACTTATTTGCCTCTCATTGTTGTTTTGGAATAATAAATCTATATGGAATTTACTTTATTGAAAATAAATTTGGTAAAAACTTTATTTGTAAAATGGAATTTTATATTTAATAAATTATAAAAATCATTCTTAATATATAGTTTTACTCCTCTGTACTTAAAAAATTAGCCATTTGCAGTCACGATGAATAAAAGAGCTCAGAATTTGATGATTATGGGCAATTCCAGTTGGACAGCAGAGACTTCTGTGAGTGGTGACGTGTCAGCGATCAGCAGGGAAATTCGATTTTGATTAAGGTCTCATAAGTCAAAGAAAACTGCATTGAGCTATTTACTAGTATTGGATATTATATAGCTTTCAAAGCCAAGTTAATTAAGCTGCCTGATTGGTGGTTTGTGATTGGATAGCAAAATCAAACTTTAAATAATATTAAATATTTTTAAAATTAACTCTTAGTTATTTTTAAAGATTAAAAATCTATAAATTAAACCAAACAGAATTGAAAATATTATTTGATGAATTCTCAAAATTCAGTTTACTGTATAAATTTTTTCAATCTTTCTAGAAATATTCAATGAATGAGGAACTGAATTCAACTCTTCACTTACCATAAAATTTACTTTAACAATAAATATAGCTAATTCAGTTTACTCAAAATTTTCTAATTTTTACTTGAATAATAAATTAACTAAAAAATAATATGAGATATTTTATAATAGCAACAACAGTCTACTTTGAGCTCAGTAACAATTAAATCAAATAGTCCGGCATTTAGTTTAATTAATTCATGCAGATGATAGTTTATTTGTACTTAATAACTAATTAAGTTTTGGGTGTTTGATAAGCACATTTTGGAGTTTTTTTTTAATAGTTGATGACTGATTTGTATTTATATTATATTTGAATTTCATTACTATCATACAAATAATTGCTAATAAATTTATTCTTTTAAAATTAATATTTTTTATGACAATTTAATCGTACTTATTTAAAAATAAATTTTTTATTAAGTATTATTTTAAAAAATTTAATTAATATTTTTATTTATGGAATACAGTAAAGTAAAATAATACATTCACCTTAAATTAAAAGAAATATAAAAAACAATTATGCTTTGTTGTTTTATATTTTAACAATAACAGCTGTCAAAATTTTACCAAATACGAACATTTATCAATTAACCACTATCAATTATAAGCATGAAAAACTAACTCATGGAGTAATGGAACACCAATATACTTACCCAAACTCCCTACTAATGGCTTGCACTGTCAAACAAATACAAATCGATTACCTTTGGCGGCCGTAAAGTTACAGTACTGTAACTATTTGTAAAGCAGCCCACGTACTTTGAAAATCTAATTTTAGCTTATCAAATATGGCGACAATTGTCTCTTTGCTTATCAAATATTTATATTAAAAAAAAAAAAAGAACTAAAAGCCTTCATCTGATGAAAGAAGGCCATTGCAAGATTTGCCCACACCTCGACTATAAATAGCCATGCAAGATTTCTCACACCTCATCGAAGCAAATAACAAGTTGTAGAATTATAATTAAGCAATAATGAAAACTGCTAATTTCCTTGTAGCTCTTGCAGTCGTGGCTCTGGCATTCTCTTCTGCCATGGCTTATGACCCTAGTCCTCTCCAGGACATTTGTGTTGCAACCAATGATACCAAACATAGTGGTAAGTGTGAGCTAATTGTGTTTCTTTCTTTCTTTTTTCATCGTCTTTAAGTATATAACTAACTCCATTACTTTGATGCAGTGTTCGTTAATGGAAAATTTTGCAAAGATCCAGAGAAAGTGACAGCAGACGATTTCTTTATTACAGGGCTTAACGTTCGTAAACAAACCTCAAAGCAATTAGGAGTACGTATCACCCTCTCAACTGTAGATCAAGTTCCAGCCAGGACTCAACACTAATGCCTTATCCATAGTCCGCATTGATTTTGCTCCAAATGGCAGTCTAAACCCACCCCATTTTCACCCTCGAGCAGCAGAAATACTGACTGTCTTAGAAGGAACTCTTTATGCGGGTTTTATTACAGGAAATCCTGATCACCGCCTTTTCGCCAAAATCTTAAAGCCAGGAGATGCACTTGTGTTTCCACATGGACTCATTCACTTCCAGTTAAATATTGGCATCACTTCAGTAAATATTGCAAGATCCTGCATCGCTCTAGCTGCTACCCCATCAGTAAATCCTGATGTTTTGACAAGAGCATTCCATCTTGATAAGGATTTAGTGACTAAACTTCAAAAAGAAGAATGGGTTGATCCAGATCAGCTTTATTAATTGAGTTTTTCTGCAAGCAGAAAGTTTATTAATATCCTCATAATAAATCACTACATTGTAGTAAATAAAAAGAGAATGTTTTCTCTTTTTCTTTTTCTTTTTAATCTCAAAAGAGAGTATTGTAGCATAACAAGGATGAGTATGGTTAATATATGCCTCTCTCACCAAGTTCATGTTACATTAAGTGATGTGTACTATTGCAAGTTATTTAATTAATATATATTTGAATTTTTGGTTTTATATGACTTGATTAGTTGATTCGAACTTAGAATCTTGTATGAATATGTCATTTTTTATTATTACGTCCAATGGTGGAGGGAGGAAGGACTAGTAGTAGCTCGCCCAAGCTCAAAAAAGAAATCCAAATTTATTATATTAATTCAGTTGGACTTTTTTTTTTTTTTTACTCTAACATAATAACATTGAATTATTGGTTACGTCAGTGATTATTTCAAAACTTATTAAGTGTATGGCATAAATATGTAAAAAGAGTAATGAAAATATATGTTAAAATCACTATTTAGAAAAAACAAAAAAAAAAAAAAAAAAAAAAAAAAAAAAAAAAACTGAACATCTAAGATTGATTGAAAATGGTGGACTAACAAAGGCAAAAGAGAGAGGGAATGTAAAACTTCTAAAATACAAATTAGTTCATACCAAAAGATTAACAAATCTGGAAAGAAAAATAAAAATTGACAGAAACATCTTTTGCCCCAATAGTAAATTTGTATTTGCAAATGGAACCTTAATGCCTAAACTCTTGAATCGTAGAATTTCGATACATTAATCTTTTAATAAAGTTGAGATTATGAAAAGAAAAAAAAAAAAACAAAGAAAAAAATCCCCCCATAAAAAAAACTAATCGCAAAATGGGTGTAACTTGACTCCTTGAGCTGTTGTAATGTGTTGTCCAAATAAAAATGGTACTTCCTTCTTCATTTAAATTTGGATCAAGAATCCACAGTTTCCTTTTTTCATTTTTATTTTTTAGAAAAAATCAATATTAATGATCGAAATGATGGCCCAGCTCTGAATGTATGTCCCATTTAAACTTACTGCAAGTTAAGTGTGAGTGGTCAGATCTAGACTATACCAGATGTTTTATCAAGGCTTACAATGATCCAACAGACAAGTAGAGGCATACTTTCAAGGCATTGTTAAAATTTCTTTCTATTTTAACACTTTTGATTGTTTTTAGGAGAATCATTAACACAAAGCTGATTTACCATTTAAGAGGGCTTTTATCAAGATTAAACAATTCTAATTTTTAGTGATTCACAAATAGATTTGAAATTAAATTTTTTTTGACAATCTCACATCGCATTTTTTTCGTTGAATCAGCTTATTAAATATCTACTGTTTTCTTCGTTGTCATTACAGGTTAAAGTAGCTAACTATAACAACTATTTATCAAATCACTTCTAATTTAAACGCTACAAGCTAATACTAATAGCTAATATGCCGAAGCCAGCTGAAAGAAATAAATTTACTGCTTTTATTGCATTGCTTAATTCCAAATAATCAATATGTAAGAATGCAATCGATCATTGTCGAAATTCTTTGTTGTCATAGCGTGGTTAAGATTCCCATATTTACTGTGTTCTCTCACATTTAAAATTTATATATATACTTATCTTTAAAAGTTTATTTATGTGGTTAATCAAATGTCAGGCATGATCGTTGGAAAATTTTGTGCGAAGATAAACCATCTTGATTCTCTACTTCAGGACGTTATTATGCCTTAAAGCATGCTCTATGGGTCTGATTTTTTATTAGTTAATGAAGCTAATTCTATAGCCTATTTTGAGTTCTTGGAATCTTCTTAGTTGTATGGCTAGGGATGAAAGTGAGATGGGTTTTTTAGGGTACCGGTTCCGTTCCGATCCGTTGGATGAGAGTACCCATTTATTAGTAAAAAATACATTTTAAATAAGTTTGGATTTAGATAGATTAAAATGTATTGGTATCCTACCCATTTAAGAAGGACTTTAAATAAATTTGGGACAGATACGGATAGTAAAATTTTAAATAGATTCAGATATTTAAATGAATATTTAAACAAATTTGAAATGGATACGGGTAATAAAATTTTAAACGGATATGGTTACGGATAGTTCAAAATTCGCGAGTACTCATTGCGCTTCCACCCCTATGTATGACATATTTAAATATTATGTGTTGTTAAATATTGTAGCGACTCTTTGAATTTTTAGTATGCAGTGTTGTCGTTAAGTGCTATATTGGGTTTTCAATCTTTTTTATTTTTACTTTTTAAACAAACATCAGTTTTTAATTAAGTTTCTTATTGTGCCCCTGTATTATTGCTATTAATAAAGTCATTATTGTTGCCATTGATATTAGCCAATTTATAACTTTTACTCTCTTGACTATTACATTTTTTTTAATAAATATAAATACAAGGAAAGAACAATGCCCCACTCTTCTTAAGAACCCAGATCTTACATAAAACTATATAAAACTAGAATATATTATTGTTCGCTGATGTAATAAGAAATCCATATGAAAATAAAAAAGAAAATAAGGTTGGCAAAGGTGCAATGTAACAAAAACAAAAAATTAAAGTTATTGGAAATTATTTCTTTTACATATAATGTTAATATGATTTTGGATGAAGTACAAAATTAAATTGCAAATGATAAAATTATGGGTTAAATCATTTTGATCTTTTTAGTGATTTTTCCTCTATTCTTCCCATTCTTATAGACAAAATATAAAGAATATTTTATTTTATTTGTGGTGGAAATGGAAGTCGTGCATGGTATGAGTTGATTGTTGGTAGTTTAGCATGTGTTAATTACAATTTACATATTCACAAAACATTACATATTCACAAACAAATATAAAAATGAGATAATGATGATTATATTTTATAAATTTTTTCAATTACATGACTAAACATAGTAATAGAATGTTAATTACATTTCATTATAATATCTTTTTCATTACATTATACCTTTGATTAAATCACGTTATATTTAAATATATATGTTAAGGACAGAAAACATAATAGGTTATAAGAAAATCACAAACATGAGATATGAGATAAAGAATTTGAATGAGCATCTTAGAAGAATGTGTTAGAAACCCAAGCCTAATCTTAATCCTACTTCAACTTGTCACCGGTAGTTTTTGGATTGTAAATTTATTTTAAATTCTAGACCGAATATTTCGATCAAGTGAGTTAGCAAGCAAGTAAACGGGATAGGAAGCAAATACATGGGAGCGCTCATACTCTTACTAGGGCCTCCTACCAGTATGCTCGGTTTCAAATTTGAGATAGCATTCCAAATTATATGTAGATTATTATTCCCTAAGACAATGAAGATTTCGTTCTTTCTTTAAGAAAAAAAAAATTGTACAAGTGGCTTTTGTAATTTCCAATTTTTAAAAGATCTTGTCATTACATTTTTATTAATTATATTTATACATATATATGTTTTTTCCGTTTTGTAATTTCCGTTTTTTCACATTTTGATTTCTTGTTATTACATCCAAGTATCTAAAAGGGCAAATACATAAATGAAAAAAAATATATATATTTAATTAAGAGAACAATTAAACTTAGCAAATTTGTATGAGAGAGCAAACTTAGATTAAGTTAACTGAAGGTCCAAGTGTGGTTCCAATAAAAATATCCAAGTGTGGTTCCAATAAAAATATATTTTGTATTTGCAATTTAAGTTCTAATTACAATTAAGAGTGTTATTGTTACAGAAGATTAAAGTTTTGGATAAAATTGACATAAAAATTAAATTAGGATGAGATTGAAATATAATAGAAAGTTAATGGTGAAACAATCCATCAAAGGCTTATCCAGTTGAATTTGTTAAATTATAAAATTATTAAATATTTTAATTTGTAAAATTGCTCTATTAACATTCCAACTTATGAAAGTTGCACTAATTAAATATTTACTGGATATTCAATAATATGTAAATATCATTGTTGAAAACTTGTGCTAAATAATGCGTAAAGAGTTAGATTTATTGATTACACATTATGCATTCGAAATATTTAAATTTATGTTTCATTAGCAAAAATTTATTATAAGTTAAAATTTTTAATATATGTAATTGTAATTTTATAAATTCAATTATTTAATTAATCAAAAATAAAAATTACGCATCTTTTTCAGTTCTGAATCCTTTAAGTTGGGATATATATGATATTTCTTGGTATAAGTCCATGTCTAGTTAATCCTTTGAGAGTTTATTTATATTTCTTTTGGGTTTCATCCCTTCCTCTATATTCAAAAAAAAAAAAAAAAAAAAAAAAAATTAAAGTTGTGTTACTCAACTTTTTATAAAGTTACAAACTATGAAGAAAAATTATTAGATGAATGTATAATATAATATTACAGACTATTTGACTATGACCATTGACCAATACAAATTATAATATGAATAGAAATATGGATACAATATTATTATTATTATTATATTATTTTGCTCAAACAAAAACAAAATCTCCATTCAAAAAGTTTTAGGAAAGCAGCCAATAATGACTTGGCCACAAAAGCTATCCAATCAAATGTTTAATTTCTCCGTTGAGCTAATAATATAATTGCTTAAAATAAATAAACACTAAAACCTTCACCAGGTAATCAGATGACATCATATATATAAATATTTTATTTATTAATGTTTCAAACATACATAAATAGAAACTTAATGAAAATTTGAAAATAAAAGGTAAACTATTGATGTGGAATCTAAACTACTTGTTCTTAGTCCAATAAATAGGCTAAATACCTAAATTTACAATTTAATTTTTTTTTAAAAAAAAATCAGTGATATTATCCTTTAACTTTTAGATTCATCTGATAAATCTTTAGTTATTGAATTTACACTTATTGTATACTTTAACTTAAAAAAATTATATATATTGAACGTAATTTTAAATAATTTTTCAATTATTAAATGGATTATTTAACAAATACGGTGCTTTATGCATATATTTATAAATTAGTGGATGACAATTTTATATTTGCAATAACCACCACTACCAAAAATATATATTATAAGTATATATATATATATTATAATCAATAATAAATAATCAATAATAATTAATAA